TATAGTTTATATATATATATATATATATATATATATATATATATTTAAATTGTATTTAAATCGTATTTAAATCTAATTAAAAAAATAATATAACACTTTTAATTAACCACAATAATGTTCACTATAATATTACATTTAAATCAGAACATTTCTAAAGGAAATTATAATTTTTATATTATTAAATAAAATAAATTAATTATACATCTTATTGTAATAACATTTAATAGTAACAGCAATAATAATAATAATAATAATATATACACAAATCAATCTTATGATTTCAAATTAATTTGAAAGAAATTATCAAATTAATTTGAGAGGAAGCTACTTGGTAAGTCTGTTTTTCACCTTATTATTTTAAGTTTAAAAGTGAATTACTGAAATAATGAGCATTATATTAACATTAATGAAAACGCTAAATGATATTACCCAGTATAATATGACTTAAAATAAAACACATTTATATTTTGGTGCTGATGAAGCGGTGTCTGTACCTTATTGATGGAACTATGGACAAGAAAAGATTGGGAAACGCCACTCAAGAGGGCAGTAAGACGCACTGCCGCCCTCTGGTGCCGCAGCGTGACTGACCTGCTGAGCTACACCACTGTAGACATCCTGAGGCAGTTCACAGGGCATGAGGTTCACCGAAGTAGCACCAATCACATCCCGCCCGAGGGCAGCATAGTGCTGCAGGCCGTTGCACGAACCGTCCTACGAGAGAGAGACAGAGAGGATGCATATTTAACAGTTTAAAGTAGCTTTAAAGTCTACAACTTAGCCCTAAACAGCAGTTAGGTTTATAAGTAACTTGTATTTGAACAACAAAAGTTGGCTGGTCTTAATTTATAACAACTGTAAAGTAAAGATTCAGTACCTGATGTACTGGGAAATAAGAGATGAATTTGGTGTGGTCGGGTGAGCGTGAGGCATTTGCTATCTCCATACAACAAGCCAGTGCCTGCCACGGCTCATCTGCATTCATCCACCATTTGCGACCCTGCAAAATAGAGCTGTGACTCTTTAGGGAACGAGGAATGTGACAATCATTTCAATAAAACACAAAAATATGGCTCAGTCATAGCTCATAGCCTGCAGTGTGATGCGTTCAGATCTGAATGTACTGAATACATAGAAGGTCTACATGCAGAGTAAACTGAGGTCTGCTATAATAAAGCCTGAAAATGGCCTGCAAATATATCCGATAAAAATTAGAGGATTGAAACAAATCCTGTACTATAAGTATCATGTTTAATAGCATATGATGATTGTATTATAATAATATATCTAATGTTGAATGATATAATACATATATTCTGTACTGTATATTTTCTGTAATTGTATTATATGTTTCGTTACAATATATATAATAAATGCATAAACTATATACTGTAGGATTATGACCCAAAAATTAATCACAGGTCTGTTTTCATACCATGGACACTGGGAAAATAATGCTAAATGCAGATTAAATGCGCAACTAAATATAATTGTGTATAGTTAATTAAGTATAGTTATAGGAAATTAAATAAGCTTATGCAGTTCATGGCAATATTAATAAACTAAAAGTTGATTTATTTATTTATTTTTTGTACGATATGCATTTTGGGGCTATGATAATTTTATTTAATAATTCAACTATTATTCAACTATTATAACTATTACTATTGTTGTTGTTAATAACAGTAAATTGAATAACATTATTATTACTATTAATAATAATAATAAAACATTAAGTTTAAATATAAAATTTAAATGTTTATTTATTTTTTATTATGATTATTGTTAATACTAGGAACAATAACAACAACAACAATAATAATAGTTATTATTATTAATAACAATAAATTAAATAATTTTATTATTATAACCACCTTTAATAAAATATTGAAATTTAAAATTTAATCATATCAAAATTACTATTATTATACTATTATAATTACTATTATTAGTATTTTTATTTAATTATTCCAATAATAATAATAATTATTATTATTATTTACTAATATTATTATTATGTATATGCCCTAATACTCTGGTCAGAGAGTTAGCTAATAATAATAATAATAATAATAATTATTATTATTATTATATTTAATACTTTTCCATTAAATTTTTTTATTACAATTATAATACATTTAAATGATAATTATAACTAGTATTATTTATTTATCTCTATCATCAGCATCATCATCACTCATTGCAATTCCACTCATTGCGTCACTAGTCGTACATAAGTTCATCCAGCTGTACAACTCCTAGTACATAAGTAAGGTAAAGGTGCTATTAAAATGCTTACGTCAAGAGGACGGTCTGCCGAGTCTAGGATGTCCTCCATGATACTCTCAGCATACTCCAGTCTTCCAGCTAGTGAGCTACGCTTCTTCAACCCCGTGAGGTTCACCAGATGGATCTTCAACCAGTCGAGGCCTTTGGGCCCGAGAGGCCTTCCCTCGGCAAACAGCAGCAATCCCCTGGTCACGTCACTACCAAGGTGGTTAAAATAAGGCGGCCGGCGGTAGGTACGCCCTCGGAAGTCCATATTGTGTGGAAACCAAAAGATCTCGTCCCTCATGTGGTTGGCAATGGACAACTTATACAGCGCATCCATTCGGAGGCTGTGCATCTCCGCCACCTTCTTCTTGGCTTTGACTCCCTCCCGTTTCATGTAGGCCTTCTCGGCCTGAGTATAAGACGGGTCGTGAGGGTTGAAGCGAGGAATCTCGGGTGCTTCGGAGAGAGGTGGAGGGATGCAGAGCTTGTCGCTGCCTTTGTCATTGAAGATTGAGATGATGATGTATAACAGGGGCTTGTTGATCTTCCAGGGACAGTTGCCCACCTGATTGAGGGAGTCCAGCACGGCATGAAGATCCTCATCTCGACTCTTCTCCAGGAGAAGTTGGTGTTGGATGGCTCCATCGGTGGAGCGCATCAACTTGGTTGGCGTCAACAAGTAAGCGCCGCTCTTTGGGGACGTCCAGGGAACAGAAGGACACAGCATGGGCATGACGTAAGAGTCGAATGTGAGTTTGGTTTCCATCGCAACCCTCTGGATTTGTGTCACAATAGGATGTGGTTTGATGAAGCCAATCTGATGTGGATGCCAAAGAGGAGAACAAATGAAAATCAAGACTTTCCTTAAAGGCATGTCACAAAAAGGACGTTTAACATGGACAATTAAATCCTTAAATGCCGTGACAGGTCTACATTAATAAACATTTGTCATCGCTAGCTCCCAGCAGGCCTGTAACCCACCTCAAATAAACCAGAGATGATTTATGAGTGCTACTGGTAAAATGTTTATGGTGCACAACAGACGTAACTGTCTTTGAGAGCCGGATAAACAACTTCTAATCAAAGAGAAAGAGGAAGCACATGTACCCACACAAATGCCTACAAAATAGTCCCAGAAACACAATGGGTGTGAGTGCTGAATCATGAAAATTAATATATAATTTTACTATAAGGTTCAGTTGACATGATCTGTTTGTATGTTCTGGTATAAACAAGCAGGGATGGGTATTGATGAAGATTTCGCAATTTGATTCTGAATTTGATTCTGATTCATTTGGGTAATTACAGTGATTCAGTATTCAGGGCTGTGTTTCAGACTGATTTGAAGCGGTAACACGTCTTTTTGAAGTATTCATTAAAGGAATTAATTCATTAAAAGTGTTAAGCCCCGTTCACACCAAGAACAATAACTATAAATATAACTATAAAGATAACGATATTAGCATCCACACCATCAAACGATATCATCTGTTTATTCTAAGCGCACACGCGTCTGCCGCTTTAAATTCTGAAGCTCGTTACAGCAGGATGGATTCTGATTGGCTGTCAATGTTTCATCGTTCATCAGCTGGAGAAAAATCGTTTTGAAAGTGATTCCAACTATATCGTTTCTCTTTGTCTTTATCGTTATAGCTGTGGTGAGGACTCTGCTATTCTTTAATATTGAGAACGATTTTTAGAACTATATCTTTATCGTTACCTTTATAGTTATCGTCCTTGGTGTGAATGGGCCTTTAGTCATGAATCAGACTACACTGTTCCTGCTGTATCTTGTGGATTCACTAAAAAAATAATAGAAAATAACTAGAGTTATTTGCTCGTAAATCGAACGACACTGGTCGTGCTGTATGTTTTTCATTCACTAAAAAGAATCAAATCACAAGAGTCATTTGTTTCATGAATCAGACTAAACTACACTAAATTCACTAAAAAAGATTCAGCTCACAAGACAGAAAACTGGATTTGTCAAGTCATTTCACTAGTCTAAACCTCAAGAAGAAAAGATGGAGATCATCTTGCTACAAGGTGGCATTTTAAATGTCTCGAAAAAGAATGTGAATCCACTCGACAGCATTCATGCCACATGAATAATCCACAGACACGCTAAACTCAGAGCTCTTCCCTGCTGTACGGGCCATCTGCAAGCTCAGCGGAGGAACGGGAGTTAAGCTTTGGGTCTTTGAAGTTCATGGAGCATGCCAAGAGGCAGGGCAGCAGCGTCAGGAATGAGATTTTGAGGACAAAAAGGAAATTCTCACAATCTTTTTGGGCTCTTCTTCCCTCTTTTTGCAATCCCTTGGCGGTTAATCAAACGGGCAATTAAGAGGACAGTAAAAAAAGAGATTAGTTTCGCCACAATCCGTCTTCCTCCGCTGGCCTGCGATCACTCGCACAGGAAAAAATTATTCCATAATTCATGAAAACATGCGTGTCCGTGAGAGGATTTAGATGGGGAACGGATGGTTTATGACACAAATTTTAATGGACAGTCATTTGACTGTCTAGCCATGAACAGCCTTCAACATGGAAGCAAAAACACTTCAGGGATGTGCAGTATTTTAACGTACAAATTCGAGTCCAGCTGGTCTCGACCTCTTACCTTATGATTGCTGCAGAACGTGTACATGTGGTAAAGGATGGGGATGAGCTTCTTATCTTGAGCAGGATTGAGGATGTTGCTCCAAATTTTGAGCTCATGAACCATCAGGTCAACCAGTAAGCTGCCCAGCTGCACCATCAGAACCATCGGCCAAGGGGTGTCGTCACTTAAAAGAGAGGGACCGCTGTACCTCTCCATCTCAAGACTCGCCCAATAGTCCCGCAGCAGCATGCCATTGGTCTATGATGAAACAGGAGGTGATAAAATGTAAAAGCCAATTTAGATATTTGATTCGAGAGCAAACTGAAGGTGTCAGATCTGGTCAACCAAAGCTTGTACACCTCAATGTCGTTTGCCAGGAGCTCAGCATACGAGTTGTAGATACTCCCAAGCTTCTCAATCATCTGACTGTGGCTCTTCTGCGGGATGGAGTACAAATTGTAGACTCGGTTTCCCATCTCCTCCGCCATGATAAGCAAAGATTCACCACTGGGTGACTGCTTGTCTAAACTCTACAAAAAATATGGAGAGAAATATCACTTTAAAGGTACACCAAGTACGTCTTTTTCCAGTACCTGGATGGGAGACCTCCTGGGAAAACTAGGTTGCTGCTGGAAGAGGTGTTAGTGAGGCCAGCAGGGGGTGCTCACCCTGCGGTCTGTGTGGGTTCTGGTCAAAACCCACACAAATTTGGCCAAATTTGCCCATTGGCCTCTGATCATCATGGCCTCCTAACAATCCCCATATCTACTGATTGGCTTCATCACTCTGTCTCCTCTCCACCAATAAGCTGGTGTATGGTGGGCGTTCTGGCGCACTATGGCTGCCGTCGCATCATCCAGGTGGATGCTGCACACTGGTGGTGGATGAGGAGATACCCCCTGACAATGTAAAGCGCTTTGAGTGCCTAGAAAAGCGCTATATAAATGTAATGAATTATTATTATTTTTATTATTACTCGAAGAGAAACAAAAAGTATCTGAAAATGTTAAAATATGACCATATTTTTTTTGGCTCTAGTGACCAAGAAATTATCATTTTTATCCGCCTCATGGAAATTCGGCGTAAAGTTGGTACCTGAAGCATGATGTTCACATAATCCTGATCATCCAGGATACACAGGTATGGGTATATGCAGGTACTCCAGGACTTCTGGCTTTTGCTGGATAATATCCGTTTCTTTTCCTTCAGTGCATGGAGGAGAGCTTTCTCCCAGTGTTTGCGCCGTGTTGCTAGTAATTCTCTCTATAAAAATATAAATGTTTTTTTTTTTTCAAATTCAGTATGTGCAACAATATTAATGAACAAATGAAAATTGAAATGTTGGCAATGAAGACAATACATTTACTTCAACAAAGAGGTTAAATATACTTCAGTACAACCAATATCATAATGTAAACAAACAATTTTACTTTTTTATATATACTATATTTAAAATATATACTATATTTTATATATAAACAGGGTATGATTAAACTGCAGGGGGTTCATGAGGTGTTAATGAATTAAATCATAAAAATGTAAAATGAAAATAAATAACTTTAAAATGAAAACAATAAAAAAACTTATGCTATTATTATTATCTTTTTTTAATATGTTTTATTTGTTTACCTGCATGCCATGTGAGCACTAGGTGATCAAATGAACATGCAAACGGCTGTTATAATATTGAAATATTAACTTAAAATCTCACAGGGACTTCAAGTAAATATTTTAGGAGTTTAGCGGACAAAAAAGTTTGGGAATCCCTGATATAATACACTACTTTTCCCCATTACAGTAACGTACTGAGAATTTGGGTAGAGGATGTGCTTAATTGACATGAAAATAAAGTGTCTTAATGCTCCTAAAATAGGCTTCATTATCACTTCATTACAGGCTTCAAATTACAAATTATATATTTTTTCCTTTGGATTTTAGTGTGAAATGTGACATTTCTGGACAGTTTTCATGAGATTCACTCAGCTACCATTTGTGGCCTTTACGTTACACCATATTCTCCTCTCAAGCAGCCTGCGGCTTTAAAAAATAAAATCTCATTTAAATGTAGATGTGAATTTTATGCACAACACAAATCGGGTTCGGTGGGCAGTCAGTGCCGCCCGGCCGAAAGTGGGTCATCTCTTTATCAGGATGCTTTTCTGTTTCCCTGCAGACTGGGGGAGCAGGCAGATGACACAGATCAGTTATGCTGACCCTCCGATGGAAAGATGACTCTCTCTCACAGGGCTGGTGGGGACACATTACAATGCATTTCTATTCCATTAAACCCTAGCGCAAATGTTGCGGGACCACAGGGGACCTTTCTCGTGAGGGAACACAGACAGCGGAGCAAATGTCAGTTTAAAAAGCAGCTGGATTGTGGAAATATGACTACTTTCAATGCATGAGCTGGAAACTTTCAAAAATGTCTGAGTTTAGCCAATGGATCATAGCTTAGGTGCAAATCTGGATCCTAAAAAAATATAACATGTTAACTATTGAAAGGAAAATCGTCCACACGTGTGTATGTGATTTTGAAAGGCCTCTTTATGGTAGTTTCCTATGCTTGAGGATTCCCACTGTGCTAGTTTCAGAGAAACCAGTCATAGCAATATTAACTCTGGCCCACAAACGGAAATAAATAATTTGGTGTAAGGGACAGTGGGGTAAGATGTGCCACTGTTTTTTTTACTTATGCTGCCCTCCCCAAGAGTAATGAAGTAAAAACTAATATTCCTTATAAAAAGTTGTGTCCAACTTACCCCATGTTAGGAGAGAATTCAATCATTGGGGAATACGAGAAAACAATCTACATTCCATTCGAATTTCCATCCCATATTTTGCAGCATATTAATACATTTTACATTAAAAAAAAGTACTTTAACAGTGGGCTTTTTCAACATTTTATAACATTATTTACTGTATCTGTACCATTTCTTAGCACTGGCACATCTTACCCCGAAACTGACACATTTTTACCCCTAGCTACCATTTTGGGAAAAATGCTTCATTTTATAATCCGTAGCTAATCTTTAGCCAAATTTACATATGTTTTATACAATTGCAATGCACCAACACATTTTTAGGCAAGGCATAGGAAGGCAAGAAATTTATGGCAATGCAACTGTATGAGGCAACACCGTAGCTAATCTTTAGCCAAATTTACATATGTTTTATACAACTGCAATGCACCAACACATTTTTAGGCAAGGCATTGGAAGGCAAGAAATTTATGGCAATGCAACTGTGTGAGGCAACACCGTAGCTAATCTTTAGCCAAATTTACATATGTTTTATACAATTGCAATGCACCAACACATTTTTAGACCTGGCTAAATTAGTTTTAGTCTAAAAAACTGCTATATTTTAACGGCTTTTTCTAAATATATAGACATGTGACTAAAATAATGCTAGATTACTAGACACAACTTATACACATCTTACCCCACTCTGCCATAAATGCAATAACAGTAACCTCATGATTTTTCAAATTAAATCAGACAGGTTGTGGTTTCGTACCATTTTGGCCATGTTTTCGGTGACAGGCTTTAAAGGCCTCCACTGAGTCAATAGTGATGGTAGTGGCTTTTTCCATAGCCAGCTGAAGACTAAACCGGTCCCGCAGTTCTTTCAGGCTGAAGTCCAGTTTAGGATACGTGGCACCTTCCCTCTGAAACACACAAGATGGGAATCAAGTCAGTAAAACCATAAAATAAATGCAAATCAAATGTACTCTGCTACTTAGTTTATTAAAAAGAGAAATGCAACTATCTGAGATTCAATATTCTTCTATTACCTTTTACTTTATTTATTTTTTTATTATTAGTAACAATTTTAGTAGTATAACCTATGCTGAATTTCTAATGTAAAAGTTTAATTTATTTTTTTTTAACATTTTTAAATTAATTGTACTAAATTAAGATGTTAAACTGACAGTCCTACTATTAACAGCAACACTGACTGCATAACATTGTGATATTTGCTTTACTATTTTTACATTTATTAGTAAAAACTGTATTAGTGTAATTTAATGCTGACTTTCCAATGCAAAATTTTCACTTTTTAATTTTTTTAGCAGTTTTTTATTAATTGTACTACAATAATGTTTTAAATTGACATCCTTAGTATTACCATACTAAGTAACTGCATAATATTATAACATCTACTTTGCTGATTTTATTTATTAGTGACAATTATATTATTTTATAATTATCCTTACTTTCAAATGTAAAATTTTAATTACTTTTTTTTAACACTTTTTTAAATTAATTGCAATAAATTAATGTGTTAAACCGGCAATCTTATTATTAACTAACTGCATAGTATTATAACATCCTTGCACAACCAGTGTGTTATGCGTGTACAAAATCATAACAGAGCTCAAGATGATCCGCTAAATAATGAGTGCTGAGAATCATCATCGCCAGAGGCTCTAAGTTTAATATTACTGGCTCCTTATAACTGGATATGAAGGATGAGAGGGTTTAAATCTCATTAGGATAAACATAAAAAAATTATAATTTATTTGACTGGCAATTATGGAGACTATTTACTTCAACCTTTCACAGGCTGCACAATTTGTTATGAGTCCCGATCGAAAGAAGCCATTGAACTTTATGGCCAAATGAAAGAACCAAAAATTCTTTATGTTTAAGTGCACTTATATATTTAAAAGAACCAAGCAAACTAGCTAACTAAAATAACCATGCGGATTTCAAATCTGTCTATTAACTTTCAGGTACAGCCAATTAAAATCTAATGAGGTTGAACAGTTCCACTCTCTCAAGTCTGGCCGGCAGCCAAATGTGTGGCTGCATAAAATACGAACTGTAAATACGGCATATATTATAGCAACAGCTTGCTAAGTGGTGCAGAGATCATGTTAATGTGGGCTGTGCGTTGACATGTGCAGTCATTTATTATTCGAGGGGAGGCGTTGCCGTCCTGCACAGACATCTGGGAATTATCACCAAACACATCATGGAAGGGCTGGGACAGAACAGGTCAGCTTGAGCGTTAATACTCACAAGGAGAGAGCGACTGCTAAATCTGTCCTCAATAGAGATCACATGGACACCAGCCAAAGCAAGCACAAAGGTTGTGGAGGGATAAATCATGCCCACGGTGATGACTACTACAGCCCGGCCATGCAGAACACAAGATGCAGTGTTGTGTATGGCTCAGCAGAGGCCCTTATTTCCAAGGTCCACAGCCCTGACAGGGAGAAGCACGTGTGATGACCTCTGTGTTAGGGATGTGTCGTTATAATCTTCAATGCTTTAGTGAAGTTGTGCGAATAAAGGATGCATTGGGAGGCAAGACATTTATGGCAATGCAACTGTGTGGGGTAACAACTCAAACTATCTAAACCTGGTGCACACAACATGATTTTGAAGTCAAAGATACATTTCAAGAATCGTAAAAAGAGGTAAATGGAAAGAATTGGTGGTATTTGATCACTTGTGCTCACTGACAGCCAATTAATTGCCTTGATGAAACATTAATTGTGAATTTTGACAGTGACAGTGACCATTTTCTTTCCTCTCAAGGCGAAACTTTGTGAACATTTGCTTGCTATGAGCTAATCTGATCATGATCATGAACTGAAATTGATCACTGGTCGACACTGTCAATCATTACAGTAGTACTATGACAAATATTTTACAGTCTGGATTATCTTAAATTAAAACAAAACATTAAAATATTCTAAACAATTATAAAAATAAAAAAATTATGCAAGCAGTATATTTGAACATGTATTTAGCTACGTTAACAGAGTCAATAATTACAATAGTACTGTTATGAATATTGTACAGTCTGGCGTAAGATCACAGTTTTGTTTTGGCTTTTATCAGGACAACAATCATAAACGACAAAGGAATAAAATAAAATAACTACAAAAAATAAAGAAAAACCAAGCAAACAAAACACAATAAAACAGCACAAGAAAGCAAATCACAAAAAAGCAAAGTAAAACACAACAACGAAGGGGACAACACAACAAAGCAAAGCAAATTCTAACAAAAAGCAAAAAAAAAACCAAAACTTCACAAGTAAACTTCTGCCATCTACATAAACTGCATATTAGTACTGTTATGCATAATGTACAGTCTGGCGTAAGATTTTGTTTTGGCTTTTATCAGGACAACAATCATAAATGATAAAGGAATAAAATAAAATAACTACAAAAATAAATAAAAAACAAACAAACAAAACACAATAAAACAAAGCACAAGAAAGCAAAACAAAGCAAATCACAAAAAAGAAAAGTAAAACACAACAACGCAGGGCACAACACAACAAAGCAAAGCAAATTCTAACAAAACAAAACAAAACAAAACAAAAACATCACACAACAAAACATCTGCCAACAACATATTTTAAAAACAAATTTAGCCTGTTGGGCATCTCTGAAAAGTTGCTAACAGAATTTCTTTACTGATTAGTGCTAAGAGTTGCAGCATTTCATCTCAGTCCTTCACATGACCCAGTTATTCTGTACTTTCCAAGAAAGTTTCCATTCAAGGTGTTAGGCAGTGGGGTGTGGGTTACAAATGAACTCATGTGCACCTGCGGTAATGAATCAGTTGGGGAGAAAGGGGGATGGCGGGGAATTGGTTGTGGGGCAGACTGGCTAAATAAAACCCCCCAGTGTGCCCAAAAATAGAGCGGGCACCTCTGTATGAAGGAATTATATAGCAGATGACAGCTGACATGGTAGTGAAAGTCGTCATTTTGACACACAAGACAAGTTCAGGCAGGTCTTTTAATGTTGACAGAAAAGACAGGTATATAGTTCTATGAAAAGCACCACCTGTTTTATAATACCAGCCTCCACTCCAACTCCATTTTAGCAGTGCAATTAACCTGTTTTACAACCAATTCACTAGCATTTCACGATGAAGGTTTAACGCAAATGGTCATATCTATATATGAAAAACCCTAACGTGACGAAAAAGGACAACAAAGTCTTTAATGAGTAGTAAAATATGTACAGTCTAGGGTGTTGTAACACCATAAACACTGTAGCTCCAAAAAAACCACAACAGACAGGACAGAATTGAATAAAAAAAACTGAACGAATAAAAATGAATAAAAGTGCATTTTATAAATAAAATGTAATAAAGTAAATATGATATAAAAATACGGCTGTATATATGTATATATATATATATATATATCTATATAAAATAAAAAAAAACTACCTTTCAAAAGTTTGGGATGAATCACTTTTTATTATTTATTTATTTATCAATTTATTTATTGTAAGAAATATGTTTATTTAGCAAGGAAATATTAAATTGATCAAAAGTTTAATTTATAATGTTGCAATATATATATATATATATATATATATATATATATATAAATGCTGTAATATTTATTCTTTTTATTCTAAATTTCTTCCTGAAAAAGACAAAAAACAAAATATTAAGGCACAAAACCATTTTCAAAATTTATATTAATAAGAAATGTTTCTTGATCACCAAATCAGCATTTCAGAATGATTTCTGGAAGGATCATGTGACACAGAAGAGTGAAAATTCAGCTTTGCCATCACAGGAATAAATTACATTTTAAAATATATTAAAATGCAAAATATGTTATATTGCAATAATATTTCACAATATTACTGTTTTTACCATATTTTGGTCAAATAAATGCAGCTATGGTGAGCATAAGATACTTTTTCAAAAGAATTTAAAAAAATCGTACATATCCCAAACTTTTGAAAAGTAATACAAAGTAATGTAATGTAATGGTACCTCAGCATAAAACTGTTCCACCAATGGCAGGGAACAGACATGTTGATCTCTGGATACATTGGGTTGGTATTCGGGTTGCACCAATTGGACGGCCCTCAGAACCATTTCTCTTTCATCCTTTTTAAATACACACTGTCTGAACACATCATCCACGGACAGGCCGTCCATTTCCATCTGCTGCAGACACCTGTGTGGACCAGAAGAGATATGATTATATTTCACAATAACATGTATTTGAAGCTAAAGTACTTTTTTTTTTTTTTCATTATTACTTTCCAATACCAGATAAACATGGCCTTGCAATTGTGGGCTAACTCCCAGATGAAGCCATTACTTTAAAAAAAAATTAATTTGATAATCCAAAGGTGGATGGGAAAGGCCTTATAATGAGAAAACTTCCACGATCGCAGCACCTGGGCTCATGGCGCTGAGACTGGCGGGGTGTTGGAGTGGAATATCAAATATTTGCATTGACACGGAGCGCTTTCGAACAGAACGTTCTGCTCCCGCCTGCAGTGGGTGTCAGATAGGCCACTGCCATATGTCCAAGAATTACAAGGCCATGTTTATTCAAACTGAAAAAGTGTGAATAAAGTCAGAGCCCCACGCAGCTGGAATGCTCACTGTTGATGTAGAGCTATGTTTCTATCATGGACAGAATACAAATTAAAGCACTCTGGAAGAGAGAATGAGTCTGTGCCAGAGAAAATAAGAAAGGAATAGCTGATGACAGACCACCAAAATAATTGAGAGAAAAAAAAAAAAAAAAAAAGGCCACCCTTTATTTTAAAGTCCAATTCTCCCTTTTAACAAAAAAAAAAAAAAAAAAAAAAAAGGCCATCCAAGATGTGGATCAGTTTGTTTCTTGATCAAAACAGATTTGGATAAATGTATCATTACATCCCTTTCTCACCAATGGATCCTCCGCAGTGAATGGGTGCCATCAGAATGAGAGTCCAAACAGCTGATAAAAACATCAGAATAATCCACAAGTAATCCACATCACTCCAGTCCATCAATTAATGACTTGAAGTGAAAATCTGCATGTTTGTCCAGCCCGGGGTCGTCACATGTGGTTGCCGCAAGCCCGCCTGGAAAATAATGTGGGTTTTTTTTATCTTAAACCGCATAAACACATTTCATTACACCAAATACACAAATTAATGTTATTTTTTAGCAACATCATATGACCCCTTTAAAGAAATCTTGATGTATTGGTTTCTTACAAACACAGCATTTCGCTTCACAAGACGTTAATTGACGGACTGGAGTGGTATGTGGATTACTTGTGGAATTTTGTGGTTTTTATCAGCTGTTTGGACTCTCATTCTGACAGCACCCATTCACTGCAGAGGATCAATTGGTAAGCAAGTGATGTAATGCTTAATTTCTCCAAATCCTTTCTGATGAAGAAACAAACTCATCTACATCTCGGATGTACGCAAGTCCTAAGAGGCCATGGATTACTAATATTTTTTCTTTCTTGTTTTCTCGTGATCACGACTTAATTATCCCGTGATCTCGACACAAGTTGTTTTCTTGTGATCACGACTTATTATTTCGTGATCTCGACATTACAAAAGTTGTTTTCTTGTTATCACGACTTAATATTTTCTCAGAATAATCTTCCGGGTGTTGCTTTGACCATTTAAACATGTTAATTACACAAACAAAATGTTTAGCATACTGTCTCTGGAAATATCAACAGTGACTGATCAGCCTTTATTTATGTATTGTAGACGTTATTACTAAGCAAGGTAAAATATGCTGAAATATCCAGGACATACAGTAAGAGCGTACGGTTTATCTGTCGATCAGATGCGCGTCGTTGCGTTCGTTACTATAGCAACAGTAGATCAAACAAATCAAACAATCATTGTAAAAAAAACTACTTTCGTTATGTCGAGATCACGAGAAAATTAAAGGGTTCGTTCACCCAAAAATAAAAATTAGCCCAAACTCACCCTCAAGGCATCCTAGGTGTATATGACTTTCTTCTTTCAGACGAATCCAGTCGGAGTTATATTAAAAATTGTCTTATATCTTTTAAAACGTAATAATTTAATCTAGTTTGCGCTCACTGTTGTAAACAGAAGCAGTTCCGGGCGGATGACGTAGGACATCGGCGTTGCGCATGCACCGCTCAGAAGTGACGAACGCGGAAAGCGCAGGGGAGAGATCAAAACAAAACAACAGTCACTAATTAAAATTACAAAACGAGGATTTCTATAGAAGAATGTCAGAGGATTTCGATATAAGCCAAGAGGAGACTGGTTTTCCTTTGCTAAAGTAAGGAAACTTTGCTTCCTTTGCTCCTGTAAACAAACGTTGGTTTTCACGAGACTTACCGGCGCATGCGCAATGCCGACCTCATACGTCATCCTCCCGGAGCTGCTTCTGTGTACAACTGTTGGCGCAAGCAAGATTAAAGTGATTATTACGCTTTGAATATGGATATTTTTCTTACAAAAACGCATTGATTCGCTACAGGACGACTTTGTTCACCCATCAGAGCCGTGTGAGACACTTTTTTTTTAATGGATGGGCGCGTTTTATTTCACTTCTTTTGGACTGAAGCACTGCAACACTCGCTGACTGCCATTAAGCAGCTTGAAAGATATAAGACAATTTTTAATATAACTCCGACTGGATTCATCTGAAAGAAGAAAGTCATATACACCTAGGATGCCTTGAGGGCGAGTAATTTATGGGCTAATTTTCATTTTTGGGTGAACTAACCCTTTAAGTCGTAATCACAAGAAAACAACTTTCATGTCATGTCGAGATAACGAGAAAATATTAAGTTGTGATAACGAGAAAACAACTTTCGTTATGTCGAGATCACGAGAAAATTAAGTCGTGATCACAAGAAAACAAGAAAGAAAAATATTAATAATCCATGGCCTCTTAGGACTTCCGTATGGATGGCCTGAGGGTGAGTAAATTTTTTTGCAAATTTTAGGCGAACTATTCCTTTAAGAAACAGGCCAAGTGGCTATTTCTAGCTCAGGGAGAACAAAATACAGAACTGTAATGCATTCAACAAACCTGGAACTACTTATTCAACATTAACCACCCCTTAGAAAGTCTATCAACCAATCAGAATCATGAATTCAACAGTGTTGTGGTACTAGTTGTAAACTAGTGGTTTAAGCACATTTATTCTGTAAGGGTCTGTAACCGGCTGAGATATTTTACATTGCCAGGAGTCTGCAGGACAGACTGGGTTATTCCAAAGCCTCTAAGAATGCAGCAATGGTTTCCACAGCAACAGGCTTCTTTGGGAGTGAAATGCACAGAGGATGAGTCATCAGTGCCCTCTAGTGGGCGCACATGGAGCAGATGAAGCCGTCGAGGGCAATGTGAGGCCTTGAGAAAGACATTTCTTTAACCTTTCCATCTTGAGCGTGACAGAGGAACAATCGCATCATTACCTCCTGAGGGTTGCATTCAATACTCTTGTAAATGTTAAACCCTCTGCTGATGCAAATGCAATTAGGAGAGGTGGAAACCTCTATATGAGGGTAATCCTGAAGCATTCTTTTAAAGGCTGATCTCTTGTCGGGGACAAAGGAAGCTTATAAATATAGAGGTTGGTGTGAGTTGACTCTGCTTAGGCTTTCTGTGGAGCGTTCAAAGCGCTGCTTTCATTGCATTTGCCAAGCTAATGTCTATGCAAAAGCATTAAGCCTTTGTGTGGCCGAGCAGAACTAAGTGGAGTAGACCTTACAGTAGGTGGCACCATCAACTTGTGTGTGTGCGTATATATGTATGTGTGTGTGTGTATTTTAATTCAGCTTTTTTTTTTTCAATTAACAAAGAAATGTTTAATATTTTTTATCGTTTTAGTTAAAGAGCAGGTCATATGGGGTTTTGAAAAATATCTCTTTTGCAGTTTATAACGTATCCTTAAATGAAAACAGTTTGCAAAGTTGTTAAAGGGGTCATATGACGCGATTTCAATTTTTCCTTTCTCTTTGGAGTGTTACAAGCTCTTGTGCATAAAGAAGACTAAAGAAGACTAAAGTCTCAAATCCAAAGAGATATTCTTTATAAAAGTTAAGAGTCAGCCACACCTACCTAAAATGGCTCGTTCTAACACGCCCCCACATATCTACATCACAATGTGGGAAGATTTGCATAACGCCGCCCAAATGTTCACGAAAAGAAAGAAGGCGTAACTTTTAGTCTCACTGTAGTATTGTTGCCGCCGCCATATCCCGAAGACGCTGTGTGCTTCGTTGAGAAAGCGAAACTACTTTGTTTGGTTTTC